AAGTCACACAGATCCCAAACAACCCTTTGAGCATGTTGATCCTATTTAAAGCTATTGTTTCTATTCAACTATTGCATCTATTTTCGAATGTCATTGGGTGGAATTGACCTATTCTTTGTTATGGCCCTTTTGTACTTGATTACCTTATTCCTTGATACCTTGGGTTATTACAATTTGACTAGTTGAGCTTTATTTATATTGGTTCAACTAGATATTAGATATAATTGCTTAGCCCTGCTTAGAAACATTAGCACACATTCGGGATAACTAATGACTCACTAATATTTCATGATGGTTTCATGATAGTTCACGATGGTCAATCGTGATTAGTTAATTAATTAATGTGCCAACTAAAACCTGGTAATGGTGGGTTGTGAGCACATGGTTTTGTTGGTCGTGCTCATGACAATTAAGGACCGGTTCACGAGTTTCGGTTGTGAAACATTAACCGTGCCAACCACAAGCCAGCATGGGCAACGGCTTTATCTTTTGTATAGCATGGTTCATTGCGGGGCACCAGACTGAGAAGTGACGGAGATAAGCCCACGGGGGTCGCTGGGGAGTCCATGCCTTGTTTATAAGGGGGTGATTATGATCCAGGAAGGTGCGCTGCAGTGGATTGTGTTATGCGAGGGGTATTGTCACAACTCCTTTCCGAGATACCGTGGTGGTATTGAGGCACATGGTGACATGATGTGGGGTTGTGTCTTGTGGGTACAGTGGTACACCTCTGATCAGAGTAAAACTATTCGAATAGCCGTGCCCGCGGTTATGGGCGGGTCTAACAATGTCTTTCGTGATTAGTCTCACACCTCTCATCATTGTAAAAGATGCTTAAACTGGTAATAATTTGATTAGCTCCTGGTTTGAAATGGTATATTCCTGGTTTGGAGATAGAACTGTGCAGCCGGGGTGGTTGTTCAGAATGGTTGGGCCTATACAACAGGGTATGTTGTATAGCGTTGGATTAATATTGTTTAATTACTTAACTGTTTTATCAAATTCTCAAATGTTTGCTAAATGCTGCTTTTGCAAATGCAACCCTATTATGCCATCCTTTGTTATCCTGTGCACTTGCATATTTGCTGCGTGGCTTGCTGAGTATGTCATATACTCACCTTGCAATCATTCATCAGAGGAAGAGTTCTACAATGAGGCTGATGGTGTGGAGGATTAGGTGTAGCCTTGGTCAAGCTGCCTGTGGAGTGGAGCCGTCTGCGCCGTTTATTTATTTTCCGCTGCTTAGATCTTTATTGATTGAGAGGAACTATCTACCTCTGTAATGACATTTTATTCGCTTATTAATTAGAGTAATATTTGTACTCTATTATCAATTTGTTATTGTGTGCCTCGGCTGATTCCTGGACGAGGGTTCACACACATGTAAGCGTTTGGAATTTTGGATAGAAATTCCGGGCGTGACAAGATCCGACGACAGCAGCGCAACTCCCCTCCCCTTCCTCTCCCTCCCAAAACCCTAACCCTAGATCCGGCCGGAGGGGAGGGCCGCGGTGGGTAGGGCTGGTGGCGGCGGATTATTTTTTATGCCTAAAGTATTTTCGCAGGCGAGTGAATTTAGCGCCTGCGAAGATAGAGAGGTCGCATGCGAAAGTGATTTTCTTAGGCGGACAAGGGATCCGCCTGCAAAAATCATTGATTTTCGCAGGACTTTAGGTTATGGCTGCCTGCAGAAATATTTTTTCTAGTAGTGAAATCTAAGGATGACATGGAGGAAGAGAGTGTCGGAAAGGCTGATTGCGGAGCAGATCTGATGGTTGAGTGGGACACGAAGGCACGATGCAATCCAGATCCCCCATAACTGATGCTTCCCCCCTCTTCCATCATTGCATGATTCATCTTCCATACAACGACTGGTCCATGCTAGAGTCGCTTTGAGCACCATCTATAGCTCCGCCTCTCTATTAGAGAGACCTGTCCCCCTATGTGAGCCATCTACATGGGACCAAATCTGAAGCTAGAAACACCATATTTTCCATGAGACTAACTCCCTCTCTCCGAGAAAAAAATGAATCTAGGACTGGATGTGACACATCCTAGATTTGATTCTTTTGGGACGAAGGGAGTGCTCGAGTAGGGAAGAAGAAGAACGGGTCAAACCCAACTACAACACTAATTCAACTACGAGATTAACTCAACTAGGTACTAGGACAACTGGGGGATAGAGGGGACCTGAACCTTACCCGTCTCCCATCTTTCGCCGATGGTGGGGCTATTTCTTCCTAGTTCATTGGAAGATTCGCAAGAAATAACTTTGAGGGAGTGGTGACGTACGTAGTGTGTAATACTACACAGCGCAAAGTTTGGTGTGTATGGGATATACATGCATGCACGCTACGTGAATACTACCTCAAAGCCTACTCTAGGTTCATTGCTGAGAGGGGCCGCCTGCAAAATCTCCACAGCATAAAGTTTGGTCTGTGTGGGGCACGCCGTGGCAATTTTGCAAGCAGCCCCTCTCAAGGATAAATTGTTCGGTCGCCTGCAAAATTATCACGGCGCACCTCCTAAATGGTGCCACCACCACTTCACATAGATTGCTCTACCGTAGGCTGATTTATAAGCCTTGTCGTACGATAGGGCGGGTGAAGGTATATTTATGTAAAACTGAATTTATTTATATAAATCTTTTAAAAATAAATAAAAAATTCGGAGATTGATGACACAGCCGTTAAAGTTGTCCATAAGTCCCAAGGCCAGACAGCCTGACCCAAGGCATGGGATTTTGGCTCGGGCCAGGCACGGCACGGCCTGATCTTTGTCGGGCCCGTGCCGGCACGACCCGGCTGTTGGGCCGTGCCTGGGCCTATGCCTCGGCACGGTGAGCCGGCTCGGCACGACACGAACTTTAGGGAGGTGAAATAGACTTATTTTCAACCATATGTAAGACAGCGCACTAAGAATAGGGAGGACAAATAGATGTATTATATGGCATGGCTCAAAGAGCAGGGACTTAAAATAGACTTATTTTAACTATATATATATATCACAACCCAAAGAAGAGGGAAGGAAAATAAACTTACTTCAAATAAAGCACGATGGGTTGTCTATGCCTTCGGGTTGGCTCGGCATAGCCCGACCCTTATTTGGCTGTGCCTGAGCCACAGGTAGAGCACGTGGGCCGGCACGGCACGGCACGGCCCAGCGTGTGCCGTGCTGGCCCGAAAAATTTTTGCCGGGTGGCCCATATGGCCAACTATAACAGCCGTTGAGGAGCGCGGCCTGTCGAGCGTAAGGTAGGGGGCGCGAAGATGCGGTCCCGGCCCGGCCCCGTAGTCGTGACGCGGAAAGGAGCGTGGTGACACAGGCACAGTCGGAAAGCCGGATTAATTTTTCTTTTTCTAAAGTATAGCTTTCCCGACATTTTTAGATTGGAGAATATACAGTGGCGTCGAAAAGATAAGGAAAAAGATAATCAATATGGTGAGTCCCACACACTCACCAGCCTTGAGCTCGATGAAGACTTCAGCTTGAAGCCTTATCAGCATCTCATATGGCAGCGCTACAATTTTCAATTCTTTCCCAATATAAATATACTTTGATATTTTTCATCTCTTACACTACACATATTAGGTCGTATATATATATATACGGGTTCTAGAAATTTGAGAATATAAAATTGAAATTGAAGTATATAGCGATATGATAAATTCGAATACCATATATCCAATTAAAATAGCTAGACGTTGAATTGGTAAAAAAAATACATGCAAAGTTTAAAATAAAAAAAGTAGTTAAAATATTTTTATAAATTTAATTGAATTGGTAACGGCATGTGCCGCTGAGGCCAAGGGTGGAGCTAGGGCATCGAGGGGGTGCCCAGGTAGGGGTGGGCGTTCGGTCAGGCCGAAAAATTTGGTCTTAGTCTTCGGTTTTTCGGGTAGTTCGGTCTTTGGAAACTCAGGACCGAATTTCATCAAAAAAAATTTAGAACCGGTAAATTCGGTCTCGGTCTGACCAAAATTTCAGGAGATTTTGAAATGAAAAAAAATTTTCACTGGCTCACTGCCTCCCGATGGAGACGATGCGGGATGCGGCCGGCGGGATGTATGCGCCGAAGCGGAGGTGGGCTGGCTGGAGAGTGGAGTCGGAGGCGACGCCGAGGCGCAGGCGGCGCCGGCGCTGGATGCGGAGGCGGAGACGGCGCCGAGGCGGAGGCGGAGGCCGACGCTGGAGGAGGTGGAGCCGCGGAGGGCGGAGGCTGCGCCAGCGCTGGAGATGGAGCCGCGGGGAGCGGAGGCGGCGGCGCGATGGAGGCAGCGCCGAGGCGGAGGCGAAGGCCGGCGCTGAAGGCAGAGGGCGGAGACGGCGGCGCGATGGAGGCGGCGCCGGCGGCCCGACGCGATGGACTCGGAGGCGGATGCATGTCGGCGCGGCGCTGGTAGGGGATGGAGTCGGAGTGGATGCGTGAGGGGCTTAAGGGGTGGCTAGGGTTTGTTGTATTTACTGTGCTTATTTGGCCTCCTAAGCCTGTTGGGCCACAATTCGGTTTTTTGGTTAATTCGGTTAACCGAAGACTATAACTGAATTACCCGAAAAAAAAACCGGTCTTTTGATGGCTGAGACCGATCTACTAACCGAATTTCTCGGTCTCGGTCTTTTCGGTTCGGTTCTACGGTTCGGTCTTATTTTGCCCACCCTATACCCAGGAACCCGATCAAGAAATTTTTTAAGTTATATCTCATCTATTTTCACCATGTGTACACCTCCCTCAATATAAACTTAGATACCCACGTCAAATTAAAATCGATATAAAGTAGAGTAACACTACAAGAAAAATTAGCTATTGCCACGAAAGTATTACCACGAAAAATAATTGGTGACAATATATCATATTATTAATGATCACATGTGTTGGAAAGAAACAAGCGTGGAGGGTCGCGCTCACCACGATGGACTTTTCCTAGAGAGGGATCTATCACGAAGATGCGAACCCCCCGTAGCGTAGCTGCTGCTAGAGCTAGCTCGCCAACTTGTCCTAACGTGGAAAAAGGTGGTGAGTCATGCATGCAGCCAGATCAATTTGTAGGGCATGATTAGATCCTAATTTTCTAAAGTAGCTTTTCCGGCAATTTGAAGATGGAGAAAAGGTGGTGGTCTTCAAAAAAGAGACAATAGGAAAAAGGATGCATGGAGGATAGGATAGGGGGAATCATCAGTCACGCACTCACACCTGAGCACTTGAGCTCGCTGAAGACTGATCGAAGCTATCGATCGGCATCATATATATGGCAGCGATTTTTTTTCAATATAATGTACCCTCTAATGATTAAGAGCCGTATTGCTTTAGATCTAATAGATCTCTATTATATATCGTAAAATCTAAACCGAGAGGCTTCTCGCTTTAGTCGTATCACGCGACACGCCTCACAGCCGTTCGATCGTGCTTGTCATCCTGACGTACAACCGCGTGTGCTACAAACTTGTCGCGGATTAGGACTAGCGCGCTACTATATATGCACCGTGTAGTTGCGTCCCACTACTTAAGTTTCCCAAACAGGACTAGTTTGACCTACTTCGTTCTTAGCCCAAAAACACACAACACTCTCAGTGGCCACTGCCCCTCGTCCACTAGTTCGATCGATCGCCGCCGCCATGTCGTCGTCATCAACATCCTCTGCCAGCAACAACGGCATCCCTTCGCGCTCGTCGTCGTCGGCGATCGTGGTGAGCGGGTGCCATGTCCTCAAGATCGACGGCTACTCGCACACCAAGGAGATGCTCTCCCAAGGCGACTGCTCCAGATCGTGCACCTTTCGCGTCGGAACGCATTCTTGGTACCTCGAGTACTACCCCAACGGCAGATCCTTGCACAACGCCAGCGACCACATAGCCATCTGCCTCGTCCGCGACGACGACGACGGCGGCGACCTTGGATACGGCGGCGCCGCGCGCGAGCAGATGACGGCTCGGTTCCACCTGCTCGACCACCACGCCGGGAAGCCGGTGCCCGGGCACACCCGCGGCGTCACGTCGCCGCTGCTGAGCGGCAAGGTGTGGGCGTGCTCCAACTTGGTCACGAGGAAGGAGCTGGAGGAGCACGTCCTCGACGGCGACTGCTTTGCGGTCAGGTGCGACATCACCATCGTCAAGGTTCCCCGTCGTGCTGCACCGGCACCGGCGGTCGTCGTCGACGTGCCGCCGGCTGCTGCAGCAGCTGCTCCGGATCTGCCAAGCCAGATGGGCGCCCTCCTCCTGAGCATGGAGGGCGCGGATGTGACGCTCCAGGTGGGCGGCGGCGAGGTCGAGACGACGACGTTCGCGGCGCACCGGTGCGTGCTCGCCGCCCGGTCGTCGGTGTTCAGGTCGGAGCTCTTCGGCGCCACCGCCACCTCCAAAGCCGGCAGCGGCGGGCTCGTGCACGTCGTCGACGACGGCATCGGCGCGCGGGCCTTCGAGGCTCTGCTCCGCTTCATATACACGGACGCGCCGCCGGAGCTCGACGAAGAAGACGACGACGCCTCCTCCATGGCTCGGCTCCTCCTCGGCGCGGCGGATCGGTACAACGTGGAGCGGCTGAAGATGATCTGCGAGAACGAGCTGTGCAAGCGGATCGACGTGAACACCGTCGCGACCACGCTGGCTTTGGCTGAGCAGCATCACTGCTCTAGCCTGAAGAAAGCGTGCATGGACCTCGTCGACGCCAACCCGAGAGCGGTCGAGGCGGCCGGTGGCTTCGAGTATCTGTCCAACAAGTGCCCGTCTATCTTGAGGGAGCTAATCGCGAGGCTTGCTGACTTTGATTTGAAGAACGATGGGTAAATTTCGCAAAATTACAAATACTCTGTTAAACTAGCTACCCATGGAATTCAGATCCTCTGCTGTGGAGGAGAAAATGCATAGGTGCTATAGTGCCCGGTATTAGGAGAACTGTGGACCGTCCGATCGAGGACGGATGGACAAGATAAGGCGCTGCTACAGTACTGCCATCCCTGTAGGTGCAGTAGAGATGGCAATGAGGACCCATGACCCGATACCCGACGGGTCTTTACTCTATTGGAAGCTAATCATGTTCTAACTCTTATATCCATGGGTCTATTGACGAACGAAAACTCTTACCCATTGGGTACATTCTTTACCCACCCATACCCACCAACCCGTGGGTGAAAAAAACCCGTAGATTGAGTCTAAGACTATAAGTAATATAAGTCCCCACTACTACTAAATCATAGCATAAAACTCATTTCACATCTTAAGCATTGTTCTAATCTAGTTATATGAAATTACTATTTAATTTCTTTATTATGTAATGTGGTTGTAGAATTTTTTACTTGCCTTTGAACGCTAATGTTAATAGCATTGTTGCTAGAGAAAATATTGATGGTTTACAGTTCTAATATGACTAATTACAGTACGAAACTATAAATGCTACAAGTCAATTATATGGGTATGGGTACCTATTGGGTACCCGTTACCCGCATGGTGTGGGTATGGGGACGATTTTGTACCCACGGCAGGTGTGGGTATTTAAGTGAAAATATTTAGCCATCGCGAGTGTGGGTATGGGTCAAAGAGAACCCGATGATGAATATGCACCCGTTGCCATCTATAAGGTGCAGTGAATCACCCCTGTAGCGTCATTGTTCTGTGCATTGAGAAATGTTCTCCTCACATATTACTGTAGCTACAGTGACCCTCTGCATTGATGCAGAGGATCCGAATCCCTAGCCATGAATATTACTCCCTCCATCTACTACTTTTGATAGGCATATTTCTAAATCTGAAAATTTTATTTTTGATAGATATATTTTAATCCAACAACCAATCATCTTAATGACTTTCTCGGATTTAATTCGTGACTCTCCATTCTTCCACACAAGATTGGTTACATGGGCATCGAGAAATGTAAATATTAATGAATCGCTTGTTTACGAGGAATAATTAGTAGCATGTTTAAATGGATGATAAGTAAAATTACTTATCATTGGTCTATTTGCCAAGATAAAATATGATTATCAAAAATAGATGGAGTGAGTATATGAATGTCCACGTACTCCCTCCATCCAAAAAAAATGAATCTAGGACTAGATGTGACACATTCTAGTACAATGAATTTGAACAGAGATATGTAAAGATTCGTAGTACTAGGATGTGTCACATCCAGTACTAGGTTGGTTTTTTATGGAACGGAGGGAGTATATGGGAGATGGATTGTTTGTCCATCAAAGAGACGTCCACTCATTTCAACTAAACTAGCATGGTGGTCCGCTCAGATTGCACGGCTAGCATCGTTAGATTGTTTTTTCTCATATAATAGCTTAAAAATTTTCACACTTTATTATTAAAACATATTAAAATGATAACATAATTTTAAATTCTTGGTTGAACTGATAAATTGTGATATTTTTATTGTATTGAATATACATGATAGTTATTTATAAATTATATTTCTATACGGACTCCAGAATCATCTTTTAATATTCCTTATTTTTTAAATTTTGAATTTCCTTTATTCATAAATTCTGTTCCTATATGTATTTTGGAATACTCTTCCAATATTCATTTTTCTTAACTCTGAATTTTAATTATTTATAAATTGTATTTCTACATGGACTCTAAACTCTTCTTTCAATATTTTATTTTTTAATTTTGAATTTCAATTATTGGTTAATTTTATTTCTATATTGATTCTAGACTTATTTTTCCATTATTTCTTTTTTTTAATTTCAGTTGTTTCTAATTGTATTCCTATCTGAACACTAGACTTTTTTTCCCAATATTCCTTATTTGTTAATTTCGAATTTTAGTGATTTATAAATTGTATTCCTATATAGACTCCAGACTCTTTTTTTCAAATTTCAGTGATTTATTTGTTAATTTCGAATTTCAGTGATTTATAAATTTCAGTTGTTTCTAATTGTATTCCTATATGGACGCTAGACTTTTTTTCGACTTTTTTTCCATTTTTGAATTTAAGTTATTTATAAATTGTATTCCTGTATAGACTCCAGACTCTTTTTTTTATAATATTTATTTTTTATTTCGAATTTCAGTTATTTTATAAATTGTATTCATATATGTACTCTAGAGTCTTCTCCCAATCTTGCTTTTTGTAATTTTAAATTTTAGTTATTTCTAAATTGTATTTCTATATGGACTCTAACTTATATTTTTAGTTTTCCTATTTTTAATTCCTAATTTTAATTAATTCTAAATTGTATATTTGTATAGACTCTAGTCTACTCTTTCAACACTCCTTATTTTTAATTCTGAATTTCAGTTATTTTTAAATTCTATTCCTATATGGACTCTACTTTTTCTTTTCTCCGATTAATGTGGAAATTTCTAGGCCATGAGAGCAAACGTGGTGGACCGTAGACTCTTCTTCCAATATTTCTACTTTTCTAATTCCCAATCTATTATTTCTAATTATATTTCAATATGGACTCTAAATTCATTTTTAAATATTTTGTTTTTTCAATTGTTGGGTTTAGTCCCACATCGGTAATTGATGATGGGGGAGCACGATTTAAAAGGTGGGGACGGTCCTCACCCATCAGACTGGTCTTTTGGGTTGTGTAGGCTCAGAACCTAAAGTTATGGCTCTGGTTGGGCCAGTGGTGGAGCATGCCCAATGTGACCTGGGTGGCCCATGGTTAGTGAGCCGAGCTGCGCACTCTAACAAGTGATATCAGAGCCTAGGTTGGGAACCTGAAACAATTTCCATGGGTCACATGGTGGCGAGGCCAGGTAACAAGTCTTCGGGGTCACATGGGTTGATGTGACGGGGGAGATTGTTGGGCCTGATGTGTGACAGGGGCCCATGGTTAGTGAGCCGAGCTGCGCACTCTAACAAGTGATATCAGAGCCTAGGTTGGGAACCTGAAACAATCTCTATGGGTCACATGGTGGCGAGGCCAGGTAACAAGTCTTCGGGGTCACATGGGTTGATGTGACGGGGGAGATTGTTGGGCCTGATGTGTGACAGGGGAGATTGTTGGGTTTAGTCCTCATGAAGGAACCATCCGCCGTGGCTGATCCTCCGGCCGTCGTCGACGTCGCCGTGCCGTTGCCGGAGCTGAACAGGGACATGGAGGCGCTCCTCCAGAGCGAGGAGGGCGCCGACGTGACGTTCGAGGTCGGCGGCGAGTCGTTCGCCGCGCACAGGTGCGTGCTCGCCGCCCGGTCGTCGGTGTTCCGGGCGGAGCTCTTCGGCGCCATGAAGGAGAGCACCGCCGGCGGCGGCAAGGCGCGCGTGGACGGCGTCGAGGCGCGGGCGTTCAAGGCGCTCCTCCACTTCATATACACGGACGCGGCGCCGGAGTTGGACGGGAAGGATCAGGATGTTGGAATAACTATGTAATCTTGAGCATTTTATATTTCAGTTTTGCATGCACGTAGTGGCTGGCTGAAGGTTGTTTTGGCTGGCCGGTAGAATAGCTGTTTCCTTCTGCATGTTTTCAGTTTTGGTTTAGCTGCCGAATGACCCGGTTTCAGATCGTGGGATGGCGCGGTCAGTAGCCGATCCGGGTTGCTCGTTTCTTTCAGTTGTGCATGTAACAAACTCCGTTTTGGTGGAGGAGAATAAAGAGAGAAAAACCGAAAAGCAGCCGAAGTTGCGCTGTACAAAAAATTCTACTCTGTTCTTCAGTTTTTTGACGTTTCCTGAACTTCTTCAGGTTACTGTCGTTGTCCGGCAATCTTCAGAGTGAGCGAGTGTGAGCGATTTCAGAGTTTGATCATTCCGTTTTGCTGACACAGGAGACCTCATCCATGGCGCAGCATCTGCTCGTCGCGGCGGACAGGTACAACCTGGAGAGGCTGAAGCTGATCTGCGAGGACAAGCTGTGCAAGCGGATAGACGTGAGCTCCGCCGCGACCACGCTGGCGCTGGCTGAGCAGCACCGCTGCCCGAGCTTGAAGAAGGCGTGCATGGATTTCCTCTACTCACCCGGGAATCTCAAGGCAGTGGAGGCGACGGATGGGTTTGAGCATCTGGCCACAAGCTGCCCCGTTATCCTGAGGGAGCTAATCGCTAAGCTTGTTGCGCTTTGATTTCTTTTGAACAAATTTTCTTGTTTCATGTACCACTCGTACTTGTATTTGTATGAGTTTTATAATTAGGAGCATGTATGCTTTACCCTTGTAATCATCTCCTACAATGCGCCAATGTGGAACAGCTTCAAAAACCACACCCTTAAAATAACCGAGGAAATCATTTTACACAATTTTAATACTGATAGGAGTTCATATCCTATCTTAGTATAAATTTATCCCCCACTAACTCCTTAAGCTTAACATGCAAAGATGCTACATCATCATCCACTAACAAGATGTCACATCATCATCCACTAATTAACAAGATACCACATCATCATCCACTAACTATCATCACATTTAAACATCATGCAAACATGCTATATTTTTATAGCTTTTTATAATTTAAGAGCTTTTCAAATACAAACATGTTAAATTATCATCCAACATAATTTACAAAATGTTTCAATGCATATTTTTATTATGTTTTATGATATTCTATATACTTATATAGTTCATCCTCACTTAGTTAGTGCTTAAATGATTAATCTATGGTCCAAATTATCTTTCTCTTTTTTCTTCTAATCAAGTCATATCACATCAATTGTTTTTAGCCTTTAGATGATTAATCTACGGTCCAAACTATTTTCCTATTTTTCTTCTTCCATAAAGTCATACCACCTTACTTTTAACGTTTGAATCACTATTCTACATACTATTTAAATTTAAATTATCATAAACCACATTTATTTACTTAATCTTATATTATCTAGCTATCTTACATATTTTTTTTTATTGTTATCATACTAAATTCTCGCAACAATGCTCGGGGTTTCACCTAGTATATTAGGTTTTATGGTTAAGGGAAACGAATTAGATCTAACCTATAGTTAAGGGACTCGAACTGGACTTTTTTTTGTTTTCTTTCCTTTAATCGGCCAGTTTTCATAGAAACCAGACTTCCTTTCCACTTGGAGTGGACCTCAGGCTCTCCCCGCTTTCCCATTCCTGCTGGCATCCACCACCTCGCTGCGTATCATTCTCATCCCAAAGTGGATCTCACCGCGTTTTTACTGTCTTCTAGAAAAAAAATCATGTTTATCATGTCCTCTAGAAAAGATCATGTTCTTTTTTTTGCGAGGAAAAAAGATCATGTTCTAAAATGTCTTATAACGAATTTTGCTCAGAAAAACAGAAAAAGGAAAAGCTAATCGAGTTAAACGTCCACTTGATTTACTGCCAAAACTGAGAACAATTGGCTTAGCCAAAACAACTACAAGCTCAAACACCGGAAAAAAATTGAAAATATACTTTTATTTTTCATATTTTGCATTTATATACCTGTCTGAGATTAATTTACAAAAATATATCTAATCCGCGGAATGGTTGCGCGGGAGCGAGAACGTACCGCAGACTCGAGTCAGTCACGCGGAACCGGGATGCGCGACCGAACCGGTCCCGCACGGCCAGACTGCGGGACCGAGTCGGTACCGCGGCGCCGATACGCGGGAGCGATGGGACGTCAGCTCCGCGGGTGAGCGCGGCGGTATCGCATAATAGCGGCGTGGGACCAGCGCGGTCCCGCGGTTCCAGTGCGCGGTACCGAGCGAGTCTCTTGTTATTCCGTGTTAATCCCCCAATTTTTTCCAACTCATCTTCTTCATTTTTCACGCGCACGCTTTTCAAACTGCTAAACGTTGTATTTTTTGCAAAAAGTTTCTATACTAAAGTTGCTCGAAAAAATCTTATTAATCCATTTTTGAAAAAAAGTTTAACTAATAATTAATTTATCATGTGCTAATGTACTGCTCCGTTTTCCGTGCAGGACATGTATTCACAGTTTGGAAAGGTATTCACAATTTGGAAAGGACAGAGTGGCAGTCCCGCGCATCCGCCGTGCGGGAGAGAGGGGCCGGTTATGCGGAAGCGATCCGGTTTCCTGTGGTATTCCCCTAATTTTTTCAACTCATCTCCTTCCTTTTCCACGCGCACGCTTTTCAAAGTACTAAACAGTACATTTTTAACAAAAAAAAGTTTTTATACAAAATTTACTTAAAATAATTATATTGATCCAATTTTGAAAAAAAACTAATAATTAATTAATCACGTGCCAATCTACTGCTCCGTTTTCCGTGCGGGACATTATTCACAATTCAGGAGGAGACGCGTGCGGGAGCCGCGGTCCCGCACATCCAATATGCGGGAGCGCTCGGCATGCAACGCCCGCCTGTCCTGCGGGACCGGCGCGATACCGCATCTCTAGCCTGCGGGACCGGTCGCTCCCGCGCATCTAATCTGCGGATTAGGTATATTTTTGCAAATTAATCTCGAACATATATATAAATGCAAAATATGAAAAATAAAAATATATTTTTAAATTTTTTTCCTCAAACACCTACCAAAATTTGGCAACATACCAAATAACCGCGTACTATTACCAAAAGAAATATGGCGTGCGAACTGCGAAGAACTCCTTCCATTGCTACTCCAGACAGTAATAGGAGTATTTTGGTAAGGTTTATTATAGAATGGTAACTATCCAGACTGCGTCGGATCTGTACGTGCGTCACGCATTTTCAGTACAAAAGGAGTCCAATAGTCTTTCTCCCCGATCATCTTCCTCCTCTCATCGCCGGCACCGTCATCCTCTACCGTCGCCGCCGCGGCCGCGTCCCACCGCTTCACCCGGGCCACCATCATGCGCCGACCGATACACCGACGGACCACGCGTGCCTCCGCCGCTGCCGCCGCCGCCACCGGGTCAACCTCCACCATCTTCGCCGGCGCCATGAGATACGAGCTCAAGATCGTCGAGTACTCACGCACCAAGGCCGTCCCCAATGGCTGCAGCATGAAGTATCCGGCGTTCACCGCGGCAGGCCACACCTGGCATGTGGGGTACTTCCCCAATGGGGTTATTGGCGCCGAGGAAGCTGAAGCCGATTACGTGGCCTTCTTCCTCTACCTCAATGACAATGACGCCGCGGAGGAGGCCGTGAAAGCGCAGGCCATCTTCAGTTTACTCGTCATTGAGGGGAATCCGGTATCGTCCTACACATTCACCACCGTGCTGGTAAACTTCTCCGAGAAGAAGTATTGGGGTTACAAGAACTTCATCAAGAGGGAATCTCTGGAGAATCCACTGTATCTCAAGGACGATTGCTTCAGCATCAGAATAGACCTGGCCGTCACGCCGCCGCTTACCGTCGTCGTGCCGCCGTCCGACATGCACCGGCATTACGGCCGTCTCCTGATCAGCAAGGAAGCCGCCGACGTCGAGTTCCAGGTGGGAAAGAAGGTGTTCGACGCGCACCGGCTGGTGCTCGCGGCGCGGTCGCCGGTGTTCAAGGCGGAGCTCTATGGCCGGATGAAGGAGAGCACCACCAAGAGCGCCATAGCTATCGACGACATGGAGGAGGAGGTGTTTGAGGCCATGCTTACTTTCATCTACACCGACTCGTTGCCGAAGATGAAGCGGCGGGACGAGGCGGCGATGGCCCAGCATCTGCTCGTCGCGGCGGACAGGTACAACCTAGAGAGGCTGAAGCTGATCTGCGAAGATAAGTTGTCCAAGAACATTGACACGGGTTCGATTGCGAATATTTTGTTACTAGCTGAGAAACATAGTTGCCACGCGCTCAAGGAGGCATGCTTCGAGTTCCTCAGGACGTCAAGATCTCTGAATGCAGTCATGGAAACCGATGAGTTTGAGTACTTAATCGACACATGCCCAGGTGTTATTAAGGAGCTGATGTCCAAGCTTATTGTTAACTTGGGACAATCAAATGAATGGCGTAGGGATGGGGCTTTAGTCATACCTATTGCAAAATTAATACTCCGATACTATCAAGTTCAGTAGTACTAGCTATGTTTAGTCTTATACTCCCTCCATCCCAAAATGTTTGACGCCGTTGATTTTTTTAAAAATGTTTGACTGTTTGTCTTATTCAAAAAATTTAAATAATTATTAATTCTTTTTCTATCATTTGATTTATTATTAAATATACTCTTATGTATACACATAGTTTTACACATTTCACAAAAATTTTTAAATAAGACAAACGGTCAAACATGTTTAAAAAAGTTAACGGCGTCAAATAAGGAGGGAGTATATACTCCAGCGTCATATCGATGTATTGTTTTTCCCTTTTTTTTTTTTGGTCAGGAGAGTTGTGTCTATCATTTCCGGAGAACTAAGAACAATTAGTGCACTTGACTGTCTTGCTTCTTCAGTGTTTAGTATCGGAAAAACTTATTCAATTGTTCCATTTGTGTGTGTCACTTCCATGTGGTAAACCATTTTTCGTCGGTCGGCCGATTTCCACAATAGTCCCGGATGCAATAAAAACCGGGGCTAAAAATGATTTTTAGTCCCGGTTCAAAAGGGTAACGGGCATATTTGATCTTTTTTACCAACCGGGACTAAACATCATCTTTAGTCCCGGTTCGAATGCTGTCAGGGCATGTTAGGCCCCCCCGGGATCTTTAGTCCCGGTTGGTAATAAAGATCGTAACTTTAGTCCCGGTTGGTATTACCAACCGGCTAAAGATCCTGGTGATCTTTAGCCCCGTTGTGCTACCAACCGACTAAAGTCCCACCCCTATATATATGTCTTCTTCCTTCTCCAACTGCCCGAGCAAGCTTCAAAATTTCTTCAAAAAAGAGGGGAGGTCATGCCAAAATTTTTATTGAATTTATTTTGGTGATTACATACAAATCGGAGGTGCCTAAAAGGTTTGCAACTTCATCGTCCAATGTTTTTTTTTGTCATACTACATTTGCACCTATGTTTTGCACACTTTTTTTGTCTCTAAAATTTAGTTGTAAGTTGATGAGAGAGAAAATGTGTGTGGGGAAGAAAGAATATATAGAAATTTAGTTCATTTGGTAAACAAGGTTTTATAAAATAGTTGATAAGGAAAACTCTAGTGAAAGTTAATCTTAAATAATAGAAAACAAACTAAAATGAAAATTAAAAGAAGTAAAACACATTAAAATTAGTTTAAAACTTTACAAATAGTTTTTAAGAATTATTTGGTGTAATATTTTATGATTTTTGTATGAATAAAGATATCTTATAATTATTGTATGACTGTCATTATTGTAAGAATAATTATTTGTGTACGGTTTTTTTTGACTCATGTAGATGGATCGGCAATGGATGTACGCTGACCGGCGGTCCAAAGAGTTTATTGACGGCGTGCACTATTTTCTGAGAGTGGCCGAAGCTAACAGGCAAAGCGGTTTTATTTGTTGTCCATGCAATAAGTGTAAGAATCAGAAGGAGTATTCTGCATCCAGGACTATTCATTTCTACTTGTTTGAGTCGGGGTTCATGCCAAGCTATAATTGTTGGACATCCCACGGAGAGCAAGGTGTTGAAATGGAAGAAGATGAAGTGGAAGACGACAATATTCCGGACTTTGCTCAGTATGTTGGATTTGAAGAAAATCAAACGGGCGAGGAGGAAATAGCTGCTGATTGTAACGACGTTGCGGATGATCTTGGTCAGATGTTGCAGGACACTAGGGAGGACTGCGAAAGTGAAAAGGAGGCCCATAAATTGGACAAGATGTTGGAGGACCACAGAACTTCGTTGTACCCAGGTTGCGAGCAGGGGCACAAAAAGTTGGATACCACTCTGGAGTTCTTGCAATGGAAGGCAAAAAATGGGGTTAGTGATAAGGCATTTGGCGATTTATTGAAACTCGTCAAGAACATTCTTCCGGGGGGAAACAAATTGTCCGAGACAACGTACGAGGCTAAGAAGATAGTCTGCCCATTAGGACTGGAAGTTCAAAAGATTCACGCATGTCCGAACGATTTTATCCTATATCGTGGTGAGGAGTATGAGAACCTAGAAGCATGCCCTGTTTGCAAAGCACTACGATACAAGATTAGACGAGACGATCCAGGAGAAGTTGACGGGCAGCTAACAAAGAAGAGAATTCCTACTAAGGTGATGTGGTATTTCCCTATAATACCACGGATAAGGCGTTTGTTCAGGAACAAGGGGAATGCTAGAATGTTGCGATGGCACGCTGAAGAGCGTCAACAGGACGGGATGATGAGACACCCCGCCGATGGTTCGCAGGTGACGAAACATCGACAGAAAATTTAAAGAATTTGGAAAGGACGCACGAAACATACGGTTTGGTTTGAGTACGGATGGCATGAATCCTTTTGGAGAGATGAGCAGCGGCCATAGCACTTGGCCCGTTACGATGTGTATCTACAACCTCCCCCCCTGGCTATGCATGAAGAGGAAGTACATAATGATGCCGATTATTATTCAAGGCCCCAAGCAACCTGGTAACGACATCGATGTGTACCTAAGACCACTGGTCGAAGATCTTAAACAGTTGTGGAAGAAAGAAGGTGTCCCCATGTGGGACGAGGACAAACAGGAGGAGTTTAACCTACGAGCGCTGCTGTTCGTAACCATCAACGATTGGCCTGCACTTAGCAACCTATCCGGACAGTCCAATAAGGGGTACAAGGCTTGCACTCACTGTATGGATAAAACAGAAAGTACGTATCTTAAGCACTGTAGGAAGGTTGTATACATGGGTCATCGTCGATTCCTTGCAGCAAACCACCCGGTACGGAAGAAAGGCAAGCACTTCAAACATAAGGCCAACCTCCGTACGAAGCCTAAACATCGCAGCGGAAAAACAGTGTTTGCTATGGTTAAAGATCTTAAAGTAGTGTTCGGAAAGGGGCCTGGAAGCCAGCCTATAGAGAGCGAAGATGGTCACGCGGCGATGTGGAAAAAGAACTCTATATTTTGGGAGTTACCATATTGGGAATTCTTGGACATATGCCACGCAATCGACGTGATGCACCTCACTAAGAACCTTTGCGTAAACCTTCTTGGCTTCCTAGGTGTATACGGAAAGTCGAAAGATACACTGGAAGCACGTAATGATCTGAAGCATATGGAACAACGCGGCGACCTTCACCCGGAACCAAAGGAGAAAGGAAGCCATTACTTGAGTCCAGCCAGCTACACTCTTAGCAAGGCAGAGAAGGAAAGTATGTTTGAATGCTTGGAGAGCATAAAGGTACCGTCTGGATACTCCACGAATATCAAGCGAATAATAAGCACGAAGGAGAAGAAGTTCACAAACCTAAAGTCTCATGACTGTCACGTGTTGATGACACAACTGCTACCAGTTGTAATAAGGGGTATCCTTCCAGACAATGTCCGGGCAACAATAACAAAGCGATGTGCATTCATGAACGCAATTTCGCAGAAGGTTATCGATCCGGATAGATTAGAAGCCCTTCAGAATGAAGTGGTGCAATGTCTCGTCAGTTTTGAGTTGATATTTCCATCTTCATTTTTCAATATAATGACACATCTGCTTTGTCACCTTGTGAAAGAGATCCGTATTCTCGGGCCTGTGTACCTACACAACATGTTTCCTTTCGAGAGGTACATGGGCGTTCTGAAGAAGTATGTTCATAACCGTGCTCGTCCAGAGGCAAGCATCGCCAAGGGTTATGGAACAGAGGAGGTCATCGAATTTTGCGTAGAATTTATCGAAAACCTTCGCCCAATCGGGGTACCTGAATCACGCTATGAAGGGAGACTACGGGGAAAGGGAACTCTCGGAAGGAAAACAATAATGACGATAGACAACAATTTATTCCGTAAAGCCCATTTCACTGTTCTGCAACACTCTTCATTGGTAGCTCCTTACATCGAGGAGCACTTGGCTCTAGTTCACGCCAGGAACATCGGTAAGTCCGATGCATGGATTACACGGCATCACATTGATACTTTCCCCACGTGGCTACGACAACATCTCATGGGTAACGAGTCGATCAACCAACAACTTGCCTTCCTGGCGAGGGGACCGTCTGGGTCGATCGCGACATTCCAGAGATATGAGATCAATGGGTACACATTCTACACGAGAGCCCAAGACATGAAGAGCACGAACCAAAACAGCGCTATTCGTGTCGATGCCATGGGACACGATGGAACAACTGCCACGTATTACGGTGCCATCGAGGATATATGGGAACTTGACTATGGTCCTCTCAAGGTTCCTCTGTTCCGGTGCCAATGGGTTAGGTTGACTGGTGAAGGCGTAATGATTGATGACAGTGGTATGACAACTGTTGACCTTAACAAGGTTGGATACTCAGACGAACCTTTTGTACTTGCCAATGATGTAACGCAAGTCTTTTTCGTGAAGGACATGTCTAGCAAAGGAAAGAAGGGCAGAGGGCCTGATGAGCCTAAGCGTCAAGTGGTTCTCCCAGGCAAAAGAAAAATCGTCGGAGTTAAGGACAAGACTGACGAGGATTACGATCAGTTGGATGGGCAATCCCCTTTCACGGTGACGATTGACCCTGGCATCCTCCTATCAAATGAAGACACCCCTTACTCACGCAGCGATCACAAGGAGGGAACAATAGTGAGGAGAAAGTACGTGCGGTCAACCGTCACCGCCGATGTAATGCCGTAATTATTGTGTACACGATGTAAACTATTTTGGATGTATTGATTATCCATATAAATCAATTGATGTATGGCATAATTTACTATCATTCATATGCTACATTTAATTGAATATCATTCATATGCTAATTATAATTGACTAGAGAATTTTTAAAAGTATTAAATCATTCATGTGGCATTTACAAATGTTAATTAGAGTTTTTCACAATTTAATTTACTATCTTTCATATGCTACTTATATATGACTATTCGAATTTTTAAAAGGTTTAAATCATGCATGTGGCATTTACATATGTTAATTAGAGTTTTTAACATTTAATTTAATATAATTCCTATGCTAAGTATGTATGATGATTACAATTTTTATTAATTTTAAATCATGCAG